CACCCCGGCGGTGATGCCAGACGTGATCGCCATGGTGAAGGCGAATATTTGTCGAGCGTTGCCACCGCAGCCTGACGACTGCGATCCGGACAAAGACGAGCCTTTGCTCGAGGAGGCCTGGCCGCACTTGCAGGTGAGAGGAGGGGAAGGGAAGGGAGGGGTTTGCATGTTTTAAGGTGGCCGTTTGTTGGCGTGTCCAGTGTGGGCTATGCTCGAGGAGGCCTGTCCACACCTGCAGGTGACAGGAGAGGAGGGAAGAGGGGGTTTGCATGTCTTACGGCGGCGTTTGAGATAATTTTTTCGTGTGTAGTGTGGCCTTCGCTGGAGGAGGCCTGTCCCCTCTTGAAGGTTACAGGAGGGAGGAGGAGAGGAGGGGTTCCATGTTTTTCGGTGGCATTCCTGAGCCCGTGTGATGTTGACCACGGAAGGCACCATCGTCGGGTGGACCGGTAGATACGGATGTTGGAGGGTTACTGAGCGGAGATCGGGACGGTGTTTTCTGTGAAGGCAACAAGAAGGATGTACTTGTACGGTGTTTGGTCTTGGTTGTCGAGATTCACTCCTCTTGCCAGCCTAGCGATTGGGAAGCCGTTGGTGTTTTTGTTGTGTTTCTTCGAGTGTTGCCGACCGCGCTACCGACTGACTGGCTGGCGATTGCCCCCCACGTTGTTTGTCGTGTCCTTGTCCTGTTCCGTGGCAGGTGGTGTACGAGTTCTTAGTCCGGTTTGTCGTGTCGTCGGAGGTGGACGCGAAGCAGGCCAAGCAGTACGTGGACCAGGCCATGTGCTTGCAGCTCGTCGATCTTTTCGACAGGTAAGACGATAGAGGGGCAGGAGGAGGGGGGCGGGGGGGGCGGGGGGTTGACGGCGTCAGGTAAGAGTGATGTACACGCATATATACGAAGAAGGTTGGTGGAGGAGGAGAGAGGTGGGTGTGTGACTGGGTGAGATATACTGCATGTGCACATGGTGATGTACACGCATGCTGTTTGTACGATAAGAGGTGGATGGAGAATCCGTAGGTCAGACTTGCTGATGTGCACATGGTGATGTGCACATGGTGATGTACACGCATGCTATACACGAAGGAAGTGGATCGAGAAATCCGGAAGGGGTCGCGCAAAGTAGCAGCATTCTCGAGTTAGATATGCTGAGGAGAGGAGAGGCATGTCTATGGCGGTCCACGATGAGGAGGGTTAGATCCGTTCAGGGGGATAGGTGTAAACATGTCCCCGATGTCGAACGGTCGAAGTTCCATTAGTAGGGCGGTCGTCCCTGGAAGCCCAGTTGAGCAACCCTGACTCTTGAGGATGTCGTGGACCGCGGCGTCTCTAGGCCACCGGCCCCCCCTCACTGGTGGCCGTACAACATGATGGTATTCCGTAGGGTTTGCCAGCCAGGCAGCTTGAATTTTTCGTGCGTGTGCCACGAAAATTTGTTGGTGTTGACCCATGGGTTGGTGGCCTGCAGGCGGTGAGAGTGCTGGCCCATCTCTCTCCGCGATGGATGTCTGCTCTTCCTGTAGATCCTTTGTCTTGTGTGTTATGTTGTTTGTTGTTTCTCACGTTAGCTCTGTAGTCCACAAAAAATGGGGAGCCCGCGGTCTCAAAACCCGGCACATACGACGCCGCGGGGAAACAAAACAAAAAAAGGGTACAGACCACTCGGAAAGAGAAAACAAAATGTCAGAAAGAAAAGAACATGTACCGCACCGACCGTTGGAGAAAAGAGCCCTCGGTAACCGATCAAAATACAACAAAAACAAAAACAAAAATTGTGTGTAGATGGTTCTGCTTTGGGGCGGTGAGAGTGTTTGCCCTTCCTCGGTGCCGTTCGTTTTTTGTCGTTATTAATTACCCTCTTTGCTTGGTGTATTTGTGTTGGAACAGTGAGGACCCGCGGGAGCGTGACTACCTCAAGACGATTCTCCACAGGGTATACGGGAAGTTCATGATGCACCGAGCGTTCATCCGGCGAGCTGTCGGGAATGCGTTCCTCAGGTCGGCAAAGAAAAGAACCACACATGTATATTTTTTTCATGTTTGAAGTGCATGTGGGTGGCAAAACTGATATGTACGGTATGTGTTGGTGTCACTCTGCTTGTTGTTTCATGGTTGTACGTAGCCCGTGACCTTGTTGCCTTTTGCGAGTGTGTTGGATCTCGTCCTTGACCTAATGCGTAGACGAGGTGGGCGACATTCTTGCCATGGTCTAGTAGAACGGCTGGATACATCGCTTTTCGCATGACTATTATATCTCCATGCCAGACTTGTTCCCCACAATGCCACATGTTACTAATGTTGGTGTACCTTCCCCATGTGATTGTCGTTCTTACCGTTGTTGCTGCTGCTGTCGCTGTTGTATTCCGGTGCATTATTGTTATTGTTGCTGTGTTATCTTAATTGCCCATCTGTTTATGCATGCATTCCAACGCCCGTGGCAGGTTTGTGTATGAGTGCCCTAGACACAATGGCATCGGGGAGTTGCTGGAGATCCTAGGGAGCATCGTGAACGGTTTCGCGACGCCGTTGAAGAAGGAACACGGTAAGACGGAGGGAGGGAGAAATGAAGTAGACGTACCGGGGTGACACGTGACGTCGATCGCCAAGCGCGTGGTTGTGCTTGTGGTTGTCCTTGTTGCTGTTGTTGTAGAAGCGGCTGCGTGAGGTGTTGGTTGTTGTCACGCTGTTGCTGTGTGACCTGCTGCCGCTGCTTTGTTGGCTGTTGTTGTTATATTCTGTTTGTCTTTGTTGTAGTTGTTGTCGTTGTTACTGCTGCTGTACGAGCTCTTGTTGTTCGTGATAACCGAATTTTCTCGGCGTCCGAGTAAGTACTCCCGTACGATGTCTCCAGGACCCACCTCATGCTATCCGAGCCAGACTGGAAGAATACAGAGCAAACGCGATACTCAGTTGAAACCCATCGCCGCGGGGATAGGGAGTGCCTCAACGTTCAACACGGTGTTGAACACGTTCCTGACCGTTTTCCACACCTTTGTGTCGTTTTGTAAAAAGTTACGGGTTGTCGCTTTTGTGACCAACAAGCACGTGTGAGTGAGAGTAAGACGAACATTAACGACCACCTTGTCTTGCGAACTCTTGTTTGTCCTGCGTGGGGGCCGGGAAATTACCCTGCGGCACATGGCGGGCGCACCCAACAGTGGACTTCTTGCAGGTCTGCCTGCTGCCGCTGCACACGCCGACCATGGTCAACATCTACCACCAGCAGCTGAGCTACTGCGTGGTACAGTATGTGGAGAAGGAGGCGGACACGGCAACACATATCCTCAAAGTACGAAGTCGCGGCTATCGTTTGGATTGCGGCTTGAGGTTGCAGCAGTTTCTTTGTTATTTCGTCGAGGCTCTGGTGTGCTCAGCACCCCTATTGATGGACGGTTTTTGCTCCTTGCCTTCTCTTTTTCCTGTCTCGTCTGGGTTCAGGTGTGCTCAGCTGCGAGCACACGTGAACCCAGACGAGACAGGAAAAAGAGAAGGCAAGGAGCAGTATCCCGTCTTATGTATCTATTGGGTGCTGAGCACACCGGAACCCAGACGAGACAACAAGAATGGAAGGCGAGGAGCAAAAACCCGTCTGATCAATAGAGGTGCTGGGCACACCGGATAGACAGGTTTTGTTCTCTTGCTTGAGTGAGCACGGTTCCTCAGCAAGCAACGCCACGGCATACGTTGTAGTTCGCTGCTGCTGTCGTCTACCGTATACCAACCATCGTGTCATGCAACGATCGATCGTGCTAGTCAACCATCTCCTACGATCACGCCATATGAGGCATCATCACGTATCAGCCACTCGCACCCTGACACGACGCTTTCGCTTTGATCACTACCCCGCGATGGCACTCCAGAGCCTGATTCGGTTCTGGCCGTGGCGAAGCTCGAGCAAGCAAGTGATTTTCATTAACGAGCTGGAGGAGGTGCTGGAACTGCTGGCGGGGCCGGACCAGATAGCTGAGGTGGAGGACCAGCTCTTCAACTTGCTGGCGCGCTGCATCTCGAGCGAACACTTCCAGGTGAGGTAGTAGCCCGGGCTAGATCAAGCGTCATCACGCAGGGGAGAGAGTAAAAAAGGTTCGGTGGGCGAGACCTAGCTTCGCAGCTTGGTCGTTGTTGTTGTTGTTGTTGTTGTTGTTGTTGTTGTTGTTGTTGTTGTTGTTGTTGTTGTTGTTGTTGTTGTTATTTTTGTCTTGACACATGTATAGTTGAAGATATCATGGATCAGANTCTTGACACATGTATAGTTGAAGATATCATGGATCAGACACGACAAGGTGGTAATGGGCGGCGCAGGAGGCCTCACCCAAACAAGCCAGTACTTGCGTCGAATGATCTGGGAAAGGGACAAATATTTATCGGATATGACATGAATCCCGATTCGCGTCAGCAAGGAGGCCTTTTCGGCATGAGGCTTTTCCGAAACACTATACACGTTGCGCTGGACCCCCCTCCCGTTATGCTCCGTCCTCTCGAGGACGCGTGGTCCATGGTCTAGCAGCTTAGGCATGCGGAACGTGAGCGCCCCCCCCCCCCC